TTATCTGTCTATATTTTTGAGATGAGGAATTGTAATCGTATAGATTTCTTACATTCTTAGGACTATTGACTACGTCTATATAAAATAAAGGGTTCAGTTCGAAATTCAAATCACCTGAAGAAGACCATAACGTAAAACGGTCGAAACGTCGTGAATATGGCGATAAAGATGAGGACAACAGTCCGAACAATGTAAATAAAAAATCATTAGCAAGGCAAGTACATATTGTTATGGCAACGTGTCCGATTTAGTAAGTATGTTCGTTTTCCGAACATGCGATCCGGGTTCGAGTCACACCATGGTCGATTTGTCAGAAAGTAGACTTCCTGATGTTATCGGAATGGATCGGGGTCGATCTCAGCGTGTGGCACCTTTGAAAAGTGACTGAAAACCATACCACGGGTTGACCCAAACATTGTGCGTGAAATTGGGTAGACGTAACTCTTGAGTACCGTCGATAGCTGTGCTAGCACGAAGTCACAAGTCATCGTGGCCGAGGGCTTAAGCCTACTAGCCCTGTTAAAAAATTAAAAAACAACTTCTGATCTCGCCAAATTATGCGCTCTCTCTGTAACTAAAGCCCGCTCAGCATAATTCCTGAAGAAAATACAGGGAGGATTTGTGGGTTTTGAAAAAACACAAATAGGGATTGGATAGCCACTCTAGTAGACAGGATACCTGTCTGCGAGCAGTCAGCTACCAGTTATAGAAAGGTAATTCTTTTGAGAAATATTACGTTGCTTCATATCGCTGTTGAATTCAGTGTCCATTTTTATATTTACAAAAGCTTTATCCCTGATAGTGAGCACTTGTACACAGCAGCCTCAAACTATAATTTTATCATGTATATGGTGGGGTGGCCGAGTGATTAGATGGCGAGACAGGGTTGATTTGTTATGAAAATAACTTCTTGATTTGAGCGCGCTGGCCTTGTTCAAACTACTGATCACGCCATACTATATGCTCTCCTCTAGACACTCTAATGAAGGTCCGTTCAGCATAGTTGCAGTATTTGTTTAATCGTTTTATCTCAAGCAAGATGACAATGTCACGACACAAATACAAACGCAAATAGAGATTGGCTAGACACTCGAGTAGATAGGATACCTGAATACGAGCGGTCAGCTACCACTTATAGAAAAAAGTAATTCTGTTGAGAAATATTACGTTGCCCCATATCCATGTTGAATTCAGTGTCCACCTTTATATTTACAAAGGCTTTATCCCTGCTATTGAGCACTTGTTCACAGCAGCCTCGAACTAAAATTTTATCATATATATGGTGGGGAGACCGAGTGATTAGATGGCGAGCCAGCGTCGATTTGTCATGAAAATAACTTCCTGATAACTTCCGGACTAGGGCGGCGATCCTAGTGCGTGGCACCTTTGGGAAGTGCCTCAAAAAGCACCTTTGGCGATTGCTTGAAAAAGCAGATCCCGGGTTGACCCAAGGAATGTGAGGAAACTGGACAGAAACAACTGATTGAAGCCGTAGATGGTTATTCTGGCATGAGGTTTTAAGCGTGATGGCCTTGTTCAAACTGATGATCACGCAAGACTATTAGCTTTCCCCCCAGACACTGTAACTAAGGTCTGATCTACATAGTTGCAGTATAAACCACAAGTGGGATCTTTTTACTTAATCGTTTTCCCTCAAGCAAGATGACAATGTCACGACACAAAAACAAATACGACACAAATCACAAATAGGGATTGTCTAGCCACTGTAGTAGACAGGATACCTGGATACGAGCGGTCAGTTACCACTTATAAAAAAAGTAATCCTGTCCACTTTTATATTTACAAAGGCTTTATGCCTGATAATGAGCACTTGTACACATAAATATAGCAACCTCAAACTAAAATTTTATCATATATATGGTGGGGGGGTGACCGAGTTTTTAGATGGCGAACCATGGTCGATTTGTCAGGGAAATGTTATCGGCCCAGGACGGCGATCCTAGTGTGCGCCACCATTGGAAAGTGCGTGAAAATCTCAGGTTGATCCAAGGGTTGTGAGGGAAACTGGATAGACACAACTGCGACTTAAGCCGTAAATGGTTCGGAAAAAAGTCGTTATTTAAATACGCACACACAAAATACTCACAGACAAAAGTATAATTTTATCATATGCTGGGGTGGCCGAATAATTAGATGGCAAGCTATGGCCGATATGTCATGAAAATAACTTCTTTATGCAATCGGACTAGGGCGGCGATCCTAGTGCGCGGCACCTTTGGGAAGTGGGTCAAAAAGCAGATTCCCGGCTTGACCCAAGGAATGTAAGGGAAACTGGATAGAAACAACTGTGATTGAAGCCGTAGATGGTTATCCTAGCGCGAGGTTTTGAGCGTGATGGCCTTGTTCAAACTGCTGATCACACCAGAGTATGCGATCTCCCCCAGACACTGTAACTAAGGTCTGCACAGTATAGTTTCAGTATAAACCATAAGTGGGATCTTTTTGTTTAATTGTTTTACCTCAAGCAAGATGACAATGTCACGAGAACGCAAGTGGTTACATGGAGTGAAAGCGAATGATAAATATTTAGGATTATTAGAGGAGGATTGAAGAAAGGAGAATAAAAGAACGGGGTTCACATGGGCCAGTGGATAAAGACGTTGGTTAGATCCAATTACTAGACCCAAACCCTGTGAGTTCAATATCAGGCCACAGCAGTAGGGAACCAAAAAGTTGGAGAATTGAGTTAAAGAATCCGGGAGAGGCATGACACGTGGAAGTAGAAGAATATGCCCCGTGGGACGAAATAAATGGTTCGCTTTGGAATTCCAATCGCCTGAAGAAGGCCGGAGCGTACAACGACCAAAACGTTGTGTATATGGCAATAGAGATGAGGATAACAGTCCGAATAATGTAATAATGCAAGTAATCATAATAATAATAATCATCTAAGAGATCCAATCACCTGAAGAAGGCAGAAGCGTACAATGACCGAAACGCTGTGAATATGGCAGTGAAGATAGGGATGACAGTCCGAATAATGTAAATAATGCAAATAATCATAATACCTTATCTCAGAGATACAATCACCTGAAGAAGGCTGGAGCGTACAACGACCGAAACGTTGGGAATATGGCAATGAGAATGAGGATAACAGTCCGAATAATGCAAATAATGCAAGTAATCATAATATCTTATCTTAGAGATGAAAACAGAGGTTTCAAGAAGTATGGCTGTTGAACAAACGCACACATGCCTGAGTTGGATCCTCCAACAGGCTTTGTCTAACTGCCCTAGCTTCCAGACATCGCTTTATAGAAGACGATTTGTCATTAAATCACTGATGGGAAATTCTTTTCATTCCTTCATTTTTTAATTTCGATTTCATAATTATTTGATTTGTTGTGACGAAAGTGTTTAAATGTCTAAGCGTGTTAGTCGCATCGACATTCAAAGGATAATGAATCACTTTAACAAAAAATTCAAGAAATATATATTTGCAATTTGGCAATAAGCGCGGGACTTGCCGGAATCCATTTTGATATAATGGCAGCAAAAACGCCAAGAATAAAAAAAAAAATGGAAATACATCACTGAACGCTAAACAGTTCATTAATTTCAGAAATATCCAATAATAATAATTGTAGAGAAAGTAATGCCCATGAAAAAAGGACGAAACGCATTTAAATTGTATTAATTGCAAGACAGAGGAACAAAGGTTACTTATTTAGAGAGGATTTTTTATTTAATTGTGCTGTCGGTAACATTGTAAACCAGAACAATACACCGTATGGTCTGGTCATCGGTTGCTAAACCGTTTTTTCCGGATTTTTTTTCTCGGAAGGAGAGTGGCTAGACACACAGTATGATTTAAAAAAATTCCTGTCAAATGCCGGATTCTTGTAGGATAAAATATTCTTGTAGGATAAAAGACCATTTAGAACAGTTCAGTACACTGGGCTACATTACTATGAATGGAACCAGAGCCTTAATGACACGGCATCGCTGGGAGTGCTTCCTAGATTAAATGCAACGACCAGGGCTGATGATCCCTCAATGGAATCAACGGTCAGGTGTCCCTGACTAAGGTGAGGCTTCAAGGTGGAATTGACTCCACCAGACATACTTGAGTAAGATAAGCTACACACGAATAAGACTATTTAGCACAGTGCGTTACACTGGGCTACATTGCTAGAAACATTGCCTTAATGACACAGCGTCGCTAGGAGGGCTTGGTAGATTGAATGCTACGGCCAGGGCTGAGGGTCCCCCCGATGGAATCAACGGTCCCTGACTAAGGTGAGCTTCAAGTTGCCCGAAATCAGATGTGGTTTCCCTTGGTGGGGAACGGAACTCCACCAGGCCTACTTGAGTAAGATAAGCTACGCACGAATGAATACTTATTCGGCTTTCAACCCAGTGGCGGAAACTGACCAGCTGCTCTATTGTACAGCGACCTTACGATAACACACTGCTATAGGATTGATGATGATGTTGACAGATGATAAATCGATAACAGATAACTTGATAAAGAGAGAGAGAGGGCTTGCTTTTATAGACAAACAAATATCCAATTAAAGCACTGGCTACAGAGATAGTATTTTTTATTTGATAGAATTTTTTGATTTGTCTAGTTGTGGGAGAAAAGAAGACCTGTCAACAGGCCATGTGATTTTGCAGCAGTTTACGACACAGATGAATTTTCATGGAGCCATATTTCCTGGCAGAGAAATAAAACTGAAGGAGTTAACGATTACAGTTAATTCTGCTTGTCGACTCTCTACCGATGGGCGGAGAGGAACACAGACGAGGCTATGCCGAAGTGCAGTGTGTCGTGTGGTGAGGTAGATACCCAACCACTTGCATACGGGGCCTACGGTCTCAGAACGCCCTACAACGGTCTTGTGCCACATCTCGCCTTGTGGGGATGTCTCAAGTAAATACCGAGAAGCAAAACTGACTGCCCTACAGTGTAAAAGAGCCCGCAACTAGCCAAATTTTTACTCATAATGAGGAGCGGTGAGAAGTGGATTCGGACATTATAAACGAAACAACAGATTGAAGAGATAGATATATAGATAGATAATTAGATAGATAGAAATAGAACAGACTGATAGATAGATAGATAGATAGATAGATAGATAGATAGATGTGATTAAACTTAGATGTAATTAGGCGTATATATATATATATATATATATATATATATATATATATGGTATAAAATGACAATTGGAAAAAAAGTCTTAGTTAAAGCCGACGCGTTTCGTCTTCCGACTTTTTCAAGGCAAAAAATGAAATCGAAATGTTTTTGTTGTTATAGTTACATTAAAAAATCCAAATTTAAAAATCCCTTACGATAAACGTAATTTACATTAACCGGGAAAAAAGGCTTAGACAGAAGCGTCTATCTTTTTAAATTTGTCCACAGAATTGATCTGGGAATTTAACTATATATATATATATATATATATATATATATATATATATGTGTGTGTGTGTGTGTGTGTGTGTGTATAAGTAACTATATATAAATAAAAAGAACAGTAAGTGCATTAATATTATAAATTAACTGATTTAAATATATAGCATTTACTTAAATATTTGTATCTATTAAAATAATGTATAAACATAAAAATGTCTTAAAATAATTGTCGGATTTTGTCCAGTTCATAATGTGTGACGTCATTTGTTTACATTTGATAGGCCATGAGCAGTTATGATTGTACGTGAGAGATTCATGGAAGATTAAAGTTTAAAGACAGTAAAATCGACCTTGCTGACCGAAAGTTCCTCTGTGGCTAAATCGGTAAAGCTAAATGACGGTACCGTATAAGATACAGGTTCGAGTACTGTCAAAGGACGAATATTTTCTGTGAAATTTTCTCGAACCTTCAGGCCGGTAAATGTTGTTTAATACTGTTTATTATAAACAAAACATTTACTTAAATATTTGTATCTATAAAAAGAATGTATAAACATAAAAATGTCTTCATATATAGTTACGGGACCTTACCCATAATAATATAATGGACTATTCCATACGTAATAAATACTGCGCCTTAAGAAGAACCAGGGAGTTCAACCGGAAGTCGGGCGGCCGAAACGTAAATAATATATACATGCACACACACACACACACACACATATATATATATATATATATATAATGATTTTCCAAGCGTAGCACAAGGCTGAAATTAGCGGGCACCCAGTGAGGATCGAACTCACTACTCAGTAGTAACTCTAAGGTCTAATTATATATATATATATATATATATATATATATATATGAGTGTGTGTAATTATACCTAGATAGATAGATGTGATTAAACTTAGATATAATTAGACGTATATATATATATGGGGGAGGGGGGAGTTCATGAGAGACAGAGAGAGAGAGATCCTTGTAGATATATTGATGTCAGCCCGAAATTGACATAATGGCAGGCAAATTTTTTTGAAGATGGACGTCCACTTTAAAATTCTAACCAGCATACTTCCTCACTATAAACTCACTCGATTTCATCTCTCTCTTTCAACTTCATCGTGTTCATTCCCGCCCACCCTCACCCTTTCCACCACCACCACCACCTAAAAACCTTTTGTTTTGTTTTTTTACAATCATTGCCCAGTCTGTAACTCTTGTCGGTTCCAACGTTCGAAGGCCAAAGACTACTTCTTCCTCTTCTTGACCAGTCAACCTT